GCTGCAATCCTGTCTTCAAGGTCTGAAATACTATCTTCACTTTCATTAAGGCGGTTTTTACAACTTTCAGTGGAGTTTTTTATTTCCTGTATATCTCTGTGCATCTGCATTATGTATTCTGTTTGTTTCTTATATTGCTCGTCTAGGGATTCTATCTTTTTCTTTAGTTCCTCCAATTTTTTATCTGTGTTTTCTTTAGATATATTCAGAATCTCTTTCATTTCTTTTATCATTTCATCTTTTACCTGGGAGATTATTTCGAGTTTGAATTTCTTTAAAGCTTCCTGGAGTTGCTTGTTAATTTCAGTAGCTATTGTGTCCGATATTTGAGGTGAATGGCATATATTTTCTTCTATATACATTGCTCCTAGGGTTTCTTGAGATGGGCTGGATGTTTGAGGTTGTAATTTGGTCTTTCATTTTGTCATTTTCCTATATTTCTGTGTTTCAAGTGTTATTTGAAAGCTTCCTCAGGGTCTGTTGGAAATCCCCTTCTATGTTTGCAGCTCCTGAGACTCTGGCACCCCGTTACCCCAAGCCTCCGGGCCTGCAGAACCAATGGCCCTCCTTTGCCTGTTCAGAACTCTGCATTTCCAGATAAGCTTGGCCTCAGGGACACTGTGCGCCCACCTGCCCTTTGGAAGCTCCACAGCTCTCCAAGCGCAGTTGGGATGCGGAGGCGGATGTAGCCGCCTCCAACCCACCTCTCCACTTCACTGCACCCGGAAGCCTGGAGGGTCCCAAACAGTCTGGGCTTTGGGCAGAGTGTGCTGAGCACTCACCACTGGCCATGGTGCCTCTGGAACCTGCGATCCTCCCCTGCTTGCTGAGATATCCACAGTCCTCCAGACACACGGGGAGGCTGATGGAGGCGCCCCAGATCCGCCCAGCCCCTCCTCTGCACACCGATGGTGAGGTGCGGGAGTCCCAAACAGGCTGGGCTCAGGGGATAGCATGCGCCCGCCTACTTGTTGGAAGCTCCACAGTTCTCTAAGTGCAGCCGGGATGGGAAGAGGATGTAGAGGCCTCAAACCCACTTCTCCACTTCACTGCACCCAGAAGCCTGGATAGTCCCAAAAAGTCTGAAATTTGGGCAGAGTGCGCTGAGCACTCACCACTGGCCATGGTGCCTCTGGAACCTGCGATCCTCCCCTGCTTGCTGAGATATCCACAGTCCTCCAGACACATGGGGAGGCTGATGCAGGCGCCCCAGATCCGCCCAGCCCCTCCTCTGCACACCAATGCTGAGGTGCGGGAGTCCCAAACAGGCTGGGCTCAGGGGATAGCCTGCACCCACCTACTTGTTGGAAGCTCCACAGTTCTCCAAGTGCAGCCAGGTTGGGGAGGCGTATGTAGAGGCCTCAAACCCACTTCTCCACTTCACTGCACCCAGAAGCCTGGAGGGTCCCAAACAGTCTGGGATTTGGGCAAAGTGTGCTGAGCACTCACCCCTTGCCGCGGTGCCTCTGGAACCTGTGATCCTCCCCTGCTTGCTGAGATATCCACAGTCCTCCAGACACATGGGGAGGCTGATGCAGGCGCCCAGATCCGCCCAGCCCCTCCTGTGCACACTGATGGTGAGGTGCGGGAGTGGCAAGTTTTGTTAATCATACGAGACCCTGTGTCTGAGGAGTGACAGTAAGACAGTAGGTCACGACATCACCAGGGAAAGCAGCTGATACTTGGAAGAGGTCCAGATTAGCCCTGTAGGGAATCTGAGCCCTTCAGATTACCGCAGCAAGAAGGTGAACCCAGAGTTCCCATCATCCCAGACAGGCTTCCAGGGCAAGAAACTCATGCATAAAACCACACAGATTGTTTAGAGTGAAGTGAGTGGACACCAGTCAGACTTTTGGAACAGGACAGAAGCTCAGATAGGAAAGTCACAATGCAAAGTCTGAACTGGACAATGGGAGAGATAGCTTAAAAAAAATCTCTTTAAACATTTCTCATATAGCAGGCAGTGTTGTAGGCCTATATCGGTCCTCCTAGCCACTATAAGTGCGTAGATTTTAGTTATTCCCAACTGATAGGTGAATAAACAGGCGTGCTCAGACATTGAACTTGCCTGAAGCCATCCAGTTGATAATTGTGGAGCTTGTGTTTGCACTGAGGCAGTCTATGGGAGAGCCCTGTTCCTGATCATCACATTTCGTGGTCTTGAGGCTGGTTGGTGCAGGCTCCTCCTCTCCCCTGCCTGGCATCACTTTTGACTCGGAATGGAGGAGTAGAGCTTGGCTCTTAACCTTCCGAGAAGCGGGGGAGGCTCTCGAAGCTTAGAAGCAGCTATGTTTCCAGGGCCCAGCAGCTGCAGTTTCTGTATATCCCAAAACCACCAGTAAATACAACCAAGAAGACTAGACAGCCAGCCACAGAATTTCACATGAAAGAATCCACGCGGGGTGGAAAAATGTTATCTTAAGTCCTCATCTAGAGAAACATTTGTAGCTGCCCTGAAAAAGGAAAGAACAAAACAGTAAGGAGGATGAATGAATAGTGGCTGGTATGTTTACATTCATGTAAATGTTAGCAAGAAAAACAGTACTGCGAAGCAAAAATAGAACCTGTGGAAATACTGATCTGGGGAAATTCCTTTTTGGTTGTTTGGACAATTGCCAGCTTTAAAAATTGTTTTTATTCATGACAGCAAAAGTTCCCTAAGGCGAAATAGCAAGCAGATATTCCCTACTTGCTAATGCTTTGTAAATAACATGCAGAATGAAGTAGTAAACCTTGTATTCTGTGTACTCTTTTCATCCCTACCCTTACCCTGTAATACTGTCATTCTCTTGAACGGTTTTACATTGTCTTGATATGTTTGATGCTCCAGTATACAAAGTTATACCCAAAGATTTTAAGGGAAGAGACACTATGGTAACTACTATTATGTCGAGATTATCTTGTGGTAAAACACTATTTTGCTTAAATGGCTATGTTTTGACCTGCACTGTTTTGTTGTTATGCCCACTTTTTTATCTCAATCTCCTTTTTATTATCTACTTTTTCATTTTTATCCTTTTAATTAAGGAAAAAATAAATAAAAAATAGCAGGATATATTATAGTTAACCACTTTGATTTCCTATTAACTTTATTTGAAACTCTGTATTGCTCTCACCATCTTGTTTTGACTGATTTTCCTCTATTCTTTTATGCTAGATAGTACCAAGTTTGAAAGTCTAGGCAACAACTATGAAGACAATAAGATCCATTGTGACACCCATTCTGGTTGACTATTATCTTCTTTTGAAGTCCTCTAATGTCTCCAATATTTTGGTTTTATTGGTCTTATTCTTTACTGTTTTGTTCAGTTTTATTATAACTGATGATATAGGCAATTCTTTTTAAGATAACAAGAGGCATTATGGTAACCATTGTTGATCACCTTGTATTTTGTTTTTACATTATGTATTATGTCCATCCTTTTGATTTGACTGACTCTGTCCTGGTATGTCACATTTGGTTTTACTTTCTTCAAAAAAAAAGTAATAAGAACTGTGGGAGTAATAAAACCCAAAATGTGTAATTGTCATTGTACAAAAGAAAGGAAAAGAAAGTTCTCTAAAAGATATAACTGCATATGTATTTAAGTGTATAAGATAGATAACCATATTACTGAGTTTTGTTGGATTATTGAACAAAACTGTTTGCAGTCTCACTGTTTGAAAGTCCCCTCTATATGCTTTAATTTTGTAACTTCAACAACTATTTCTAAGATGACAATATGTAATTAAGTAGTGATTTCCTACTGTTTATTTTTTCTGAAATTCTGTTTAACTTGTACCCTTTTTGTTTTTTTTTTTCTTTTTTTTCCTTAAATAAAATTAAAAAAAGAAAAAAGAAAAAATCACCCATGTGAAAAAAAAAAAAAAAAAGGAGTGACACACCCTATGAGTCACCCTACACTGAATACCCGTAGATGTTTGGTTTGTTGAATACTTTTTTGTTTTGCTTTCTTTTGAATACTTGAATGGATTAGACAACTGGTAATTTTGCTAAATTTCCCAAAAATTGTTGTTTAGACCCTACTGATTCATTTCTGTGATTTCTAAATAGCTACATTATTATCCAATGAAGTGTTTAGAGTTTCACCTCCTTATGCAGAGTATAAAAGGGTATAATAAGAAGAGGGGTCTGATAAATCCTTATTTGGCTTATAGTGCTGAAAATAAGATTCTGTTAGTAAATGTAATCCTCCTTTTGCTCATCAAATTGTTTGTGGGGTACCTTGTAAAGACAAGTAGGATTATTTGAGCCACTGTGATTCTTTTGAGAGAGAAGAAAATGCAAACATTAAAACCACTTCATGTAACATATAGCCTCAGATTTTTAAGCAGGAGAATTCTATATTTTCAATTGCACATTTGTGGGTATTAAAATTAAATTTGCATAAATGAATTTAATTATGACTGTCCATAACCACTTCATTTTCCCATCGTGTGTGTGTGTGTGTGTGTGTGTGTGTGTGTGTGTAGCCTTCAGATGGCTGAACATCGCAGTCAGTTTGTTTCCTGTAGAAATTAGCTGCAGCTATATTTTTTCATCCTTCTCATCCCTGTCTTAAGTAAAATTAGTTAATGGAGGTTTTAGAGCACTAAATTTATATTGATTGCACTCTTTCAACTTCAAATAATAAATCCAGGTCAAATTACTGTTAATAATGACATGACTTTCTAAGTGATGAAGCCTTGTCAGATTATTTCACAATTCAAAATAAGTCATTTAAACTATGTGCCTGAGGACTTCTGGTACTTTAACTGCCACTATTAGAAAAATGAGGAAGGAAGGTTTAAAAAAAAAAACAAACAGTAAGAATTTGAATTGTAGTGCTTTTCAGAGTTAATATTTAAAGACCATTTTTCCAGATACTTAGACTAAAATGAAGAAGTTTCTGTGTCCTGTGTCAGTCAGGGGCAAACACCAAGGGCTTTGTCATGGGATATTTGGTGTATCGGGGGTTGATTTAGTTCCACTTAGATAAAACACTGTGATTTTCCTGCAGGTGGATGAAAGCCAAACTGGAGAGCCGGGATGGCTTGGAGGAGAATTAAAAGGAAAGACAGGATGGTTTCCTGCAAACTATGCAGAGAAGATTCCAGAAAATGAGGTTCCTGCTCCAGCCAAACCAGTGACTGATTCTGCATCCACCCCTGCCCCCAAATTGGCTTTGCGTGAAACCCCTGCACCTTTGGCAGTGACTTCTTCTGAGCCTTCCACAACCCCCAACAACTGGGCCGACTTCAGCTCCACGTATGTGTAGACATGCTTTCCTGGTGGTTTTTAAAATCCCAATTTAGTAGTCTTTCTTCCCTCCAAATGTTTTTGAAGTCTTGGCTTATACCTCTTTGAAAGGGAGCTGGCTTGTTTACTCCTTCTTCGGACTAGCATCCTGACAAAATCACTGAACTGGATTTAATGACATCATGGTCTAACAGTGACTTGCCGTGGTCTAAACTAAAGCCCGGCATCGTGTTTTGTTTAGTATTTTATCTGAATCTCCATTCTTGGGGGAAGAAATAGGGAAATACAGTTTCCTGATAATCTGTTAACATTCATGTCAGCAAATATGCATTTCCTGAATACAAGCATATAAGCAGGTTTTTTTCTGCCCAAAAACAGAAATTGAATGCAGTCATGTGGTTTTGAGTAAGATAAAAAGCTGTTTCCTCTAAGCTCTGTGCTCTTATTAGTCTTGTACAAATGTGTAATGCAGTGAGAAGGTGTGTACAGGGCTATTAGTTCTGTGCCTTTGATCACCAAAACATAACATTAAGCCACAGTGTGTAAGTGAAGGTTTGCACTAATACAACCATTGTCCCGACGTGCAGTTTTTAGTGTAGTTATGTAAAACTGTGTTATACCAGTGTGATAGAGATAGTGACTGTAGTGAGAAATGTTTGAACTTCTTTTTGAATCTAGTTATTTTTCAGAAGAAATGCAGGGAAGGTAAGGAATCAAGATGTGTTTTTGGGGAAAGATCTAGTGGAACAAGTGGAGGAAGGAAAATAGACCAAAGGAAGGGTAGAAGATTTTTGTACTTTATTTCATGTCAAGGTGAAAGTGCTAAAGGAGGTCTTCCCTATGTAATCTCTGTTTTAAAAAAAGAAAAGAAAAAGGCTTCCATTGACCTGACTTTGAAATTCAAATTCTTTCCTCTTTTTATTTTGATTGAAAAGTTCAGACTTTTTTTTTTAAGACAGAGTCTCGCCATATAGTGCAAGCTGGCCTTGAACTTGTGGCGATCCTCCTGCCTCAACCTCCCATTGCTTAGATTACAGATGTGTGCCACCACATCCCATTCTAGGATTTGTTTTTGCTGTGAATCAAGACAGTGTGACTCTTTCTCAATAAATACATGGTACGCAAGTCTTCAATATCAGTATAAAAGCCTCTTGTTTTCCAAATCAAAAATCAAGATATGCAGTCTAACAAAGGAATTACAGTGATTTTCTAATTTGTTTACATGTCTTATAAAAGTAATAAAAAGTAAAGTTCATTTAGATCTGCCACATTTTCTTTTTTTTTTTTTTTTTTTTTTTTTTTTTGGTATTGTGGATTGAACTCACAACCTCGCACTTGCCAGGCAGATGCTTAGGCCACTGAACTAGGTCCCTGGCCCTAGATCTGCCACTCTTGCAGATATGTTGACCCACAGTTATAAACTCATGAAATTAGGACTATCTCAATACAATGACGTGGCTTTCGAGAGGCCACCTGTAGGTGCCATGGCATCTGGGCATAGGATCAGGTGCTTACCATGGGATGGATGGGAGACAGAAGCTCTGGCAGCCAACCTGGCATATTTTCATATGTGGCATTTGACCTTTTTTTCTCATTTAGATATCATTCTTAGCACTTCAGCTGACCCTTGCAGCCAACCTGAAGTGTCAGGATACTTTTCTAATGAGGAAATCAAGCTTCAGAGAAACCATTATAATAGCTGAAAGTAGTAAACTAGTAATCTTATGGGAAAGATTACTAAATTGAGATTTTAATGTGCCTGGATGTGGCCTGAGGGAGTTTGCTGGGGTGTGAGTCTTAGACTCAAATCTCAGCCCAGCCCTCCTTCCTATTCCCTCCTTCTTTCATCAGTGAAGGCCACAGAAACATACTCGCTTTGCAGTCCACAGACTCAGGGGTGCCATTTTTATTTTATGTTTTGTTTTCTTTTAAATTTACTCTGCAAAGCACTGTGGGTGGAAAGCCGATGTGCTAGGAAGTGCTCACTAGTTATGGGTGTGCTTTTCCTTCCAGGTGGCCCAACAATACCAGTGAGAAACCAGAAACAGACAACTGGGATGCATGGGCAACCCAGCCTTCTCTTACCGTACCCAGTGCAGGCCAGTTAAGGCAGAGGTCAGCCTTCACTCCAGCCACGGCCACCGGCTCCTCCCCATCTCCTGTGCTGGGCCAGGTGAGGATGTGGAGACTTGGTGTGATGTGACGGCGCCAGCAGCTTCAGCAGGTGCTTGTTGGTGGTATGGTTAGGAGTTAGCCTCCCAATGAGGAGTGGGGTTGGCCAGCTAGGTGTGTTGGGGAGCTAAGGATGTGCTATGAATAGAGTTCTGAGCGGGGTCCGCTTCTGCCTGAGTCAATTGAGACTCGTCACTGAAGAAGTAGCATTTGAACTACATCTTGACCAGCAGGTAAGATTTTACTAAAAAATGGAGATTTCTAGCATATCACACAGGAAGTGCTATGAAAAGAGACTTTGAGACAGAAAAGCAGCATATGTATAGGGAAATTCATGAGTAAGTCTATTTGGCTAGAATCATGGGCGGTTATTAGAAAAACTAGACTGATGGCAGGTTAATAGGAAGCTCCGAAATGCCTGCCAAGGAAAAATAATTTCTGAAAGGATAGTGGTGATTTTTCTGAATACCTTTCTTTTGCTCAGTACACTGAAGATGAAACAATGGAATGAAAGACATGAAATTTCTATTAAAATAAAACCAAACAGCACATTCCCATCTGGGAGGAATGCGGGGCTCAGGACAGTTCCCACTTTAGAAACAGCCAGATGAAAGCCAGATGCTGGGCAGATTAGTGTAGAGGTGGTGTGTAGGAAGATAAGAACAGAGAACCAGCAAGTAGTGCTGCCTGTCAGGAGCAGCCAGGTGGGCGTGAGGGCAGCCTGGATGTGGCTGCCTTCACAGTTACCAAGTGGAGGAACCAGCGGAGAGGGGAGAGAAAAAACTGCAGAAGGGAGCCATAAGGATGCAATCAGAGGCCTTGGGAGCCCGCAGGAAAGAAAAGAGACCTGGGGTTGAAAAGAAGATGCATCTTAAGGCGAGTGAGGAAAGCAGGAAGAAGTGGAGTTGAGATAGGGGAGGAGCTGGGTTTCAGATGTGGTGCAGGGTGGTGGAAACAGGACATCCAGATAGTCATGACTGGCAGGCTAAAGGGGTGTTGGCATGGAAGGTGGAAGGATGTTGGTGACCACAGGTATATGAGAGCCACCCCGCCCCAGTGAACACAATCAGATGAATGGATTATCATGGCTCCCTAGCTTCCAGGAATGAGGGTTCCATGGCCTAGAAAAGGAGCTGCAGCTACTGATGGTGCCAACTTCCCTTTGCATCTGCCCTGGCTCAGCACTTCGTGGATGGTGCCTGCTCAGTAATGCTGACTTGGTGACAAGGGCGGGATACAAGACCAGGGGGTGGAGTAGGTAGAAGTGGGACACTGAGAAGGAAGGCACTTTGTGTTCAAAAAGGGGGTGCAGGCTCGTGTTAAAGGCTATGGGCAGTGCAAAAAGAGCCCTTTCTGTGCAGTAAGTAGAATGTCTTGTTGGCTCAGGAAATAGTAAGGTGAAACCAGTTTGCAGAATAATAAGATGGAACTGAGCAGTGAGGAGGCAGGTAGTGTGTAAAGTGAAGAGAAACAGCAGGATGAAAAAAGGGCACGGAGAAGGAAAGGACTGGTCAGTCAGGGGTCAGGCTCTAATTGGTGCCAGGTGGACACAGCATTAGCTACACAGAAGAGGAACTTTTGAGCTAGTGTGATGGTCCATGCCTGTAACCCCAGCACTTGAGGAGGTTGAGGCATTTGGATTGCCTTGTTCAAGGTCAGCCTGAGCTACATAAGCGTGTTCGAGGCCAGCCTGCATTATAATAGTGAAACATAATCTCTAAACAACAACCACAAAACACAAACAAACAAAAACAAATAAACTTCTGAGTTGGTTTTCTTCGGATGAGGAGGGGTGAAGAGAGATTGGAGAACTTAAGCAGAGAAGGAAGTTCAGGTCAGGCACCTTGCATCAGTTTCTCTGCAGAGGTGCCTACAAAATATAGAAGCTTAGAAATAGGCAAATTAGGAACTTGACAAAAAGAATTAAGAATTACCAGGGTGAATTTAACCTGAATCTTGATCATCCCACATTGCCTCGGCTTTCTCAGCAACACTGCTTAGCTCAAGACTCATGATAACAACAGTAACCTGCTATGACTGTTATGGTTGTTGGATGATTCTGTGCATAAGTCTTCAAGAACATTCTTACCAGCCTTCAACAGACAGTGCTGTCTGTTTGGTGGATGTAGGAACTGAGGCTTAGAGAGATTAAACAATTGTCAGGTGTCCCAAAATTAATGAATGTCATACTTGGGAGGATTCAGAACCAGGGTCCCATATGAAGAGGTTCAGAGACAGGCACAGGGCAGGCTTTTCAGGGGAGAGATTTGAAACACCTTTGAGGGCATAGAGGCGGTAGGTCACTGTGGGATCCAATCCTGGTATAGGTATCAACGCAAGTGGCCAAGAAGATTAGACAGGCAGAAGGGCTGCCTTTTTATGGCTGTGAGGTAGGTAGCGGGTTCACTGTGAGGGGGAGTAGTGGCGGGGACTATCATCCAGGCTATGTGGAATCCAGAGAAACCTCGTCAGTGCTGAGTGATGAAATGAGAGGAAATAGGTATGGTGTAGGTTTGGGAAGGCGAGAACCTACAAAGAGCATTTGTTCATTTATTTTAATTTCATTTAGTTCATTAAAAAGAAAGTTTTGGGACTGGGGATTTAGCTCAGTGGAATAAGCGCCTGCCTTGCAAGCAGGCAGTCGTGAGTTCGATCCCTGCTACCGATAAAAAGGAAAAAGACAAAAAAAAGAGAAAGTTTTGTGGTATTACCTGTTTCTACTAAGAGTCTGTTTTGACTATGTTTTGTACTCTGAATAACTGCTTTCAAAATTGTGATACATAATGTATGAACTATTGGTATTGTCTTACTATTTTGTTATGAAATTGTGTTTTTTAATTGTTTCATAAAATAAAAAAAAGTTATTGAAGTAGCCATTGAAATTATTTGAGCTGTTGTAAATTCCCCATTTACAATTCTATCCTAATATAGAATAAAAATAACTTCCAAATACAAGCACGAATTGATTCTGAACTAACTCTTTGGGCCTTGGCTTTTGTTTCTGTCCATCTACATGGATGCTTGAAAATTAACAATGGCTTACTGGTTACTGAATGTTTTAAGATAAGATAATAAGTGCCTCACCCCTCTTTCCAACCTCGTCTCCCCCTGCATCCCTCCAGGAGTCTAGGCTGCCTGCAGCCCCAGATCGCACTCTCCTCCTGGGCCCTGTGCTGTGTCCTCAGCCTGGAGTACCCTTCCTCCGCAGCCCTAGCTGTCAGAGCCCTCACACTTCAAGGCTCAGCTCAGAATGCCTCCTGCCTGGTGAAACTGACCCTCAAAACCCGGCTAGAATCCATCCTTCCTTTTTCTGTGTTCTATAGTGAGGAGTTGGAATTTCTTTATAGCATATTTCTTTCATTCTACCAGATGGCATCCTCAGTTGGATTACCTTTCTTCCCTATTCACTATGAGGTCCTGAGTTATCCTATCAGATTATCTGGTTTTTTGCAGTGCTTTCTGGTCAATAAGATGTTTCACGCTAATTTACTTAGGAGAGGCAGAGATGGTGTTTGATTTATCATGGCAGTCCTGTGATGCCTTACATGTAGATGGACAATAAGTAGTAATAACAAGAATTTATGCTGATCCAACCTGGTTTCTCCCAAAGATTTGTTTCTGAGTGCTAGAAATTAAAACACTAAGCAGCATCCCAGCCCTAACCTCCTGTTCCACCAAAAGGAACTAAAACAAGCACAATACAGCATGTGGCCAATTTTCCTGTGTCCACCCAGACTAAAATATCAGCTGATTTTCTCATGCAATATGGTACTGTTTCTGCTCTACTATTAATCCTCCACTAGAAACCCACATCAAATTGGCAATGGGTGCGTGCTCTGGGCAACTCAAGAGTTAAAATAGAACCAAAATATAAAAGGCACACAGTCAAGTGCAACGCAAGTTTACTTATTTAGGTGAAAAATTCTTGATGGTCACAAGATGACCCTGTGAATGGCCTGCCTCCAGCTTTGGAAGCAAGTACCCAAAGCTGGGGAGGCAGCTTCGAGTGCTCTTGTGTACTTACTGCAGAAAAAGTGCCAGTCAGTATTCGCATCAACCTTAAGTAATGACAAACACAATGTAATAAGCGGTCCTTTATGTTATTCCACTCAAGGGTGAAAAGGTGGAGGGGCTACAAGCGCAAGCCCTGTATCCTTGGAGAGCCAAAAAAGACAACCATTTAAATTTTAACAAAAATGATGTCATCACTGTCCTGGAACAGCAAGATATGTGGTGGTTTGGAGAAGTTCAAGGTCAGAAGGGTTGGTTCCCCAAGTCTTACGTGAAACTCATTTCAGGGCCCATAAGGAAATCAACAAGGTATTTTTGTGTTTGTCTGCTTCCATTTGATGAAAACAGTATTAGACGTTAAATGATTGTTTGCACTAGTTAAAATTCATAGATGAGGATTTGCAGGATTGTTTTGTCATTTGGTTCTTTGAAATGCAGAAGTTAGAGTGTATGAAGTATTAAAAAGGTGGCTTTTATAGATAAGTAGTCATCTTTCTTCCCTCACAAAAGCCTATATATCTAACCTGTGTGAGAAAGCATTCTACCCTGAGACCTGGAACATTAATGCATTGTTCAGAAATTAGGACTGTCATGATACTCAGTATGTAGTACTGTACCAGGCATATGTGAATAATTAGAAAACCAAAGGGTTCGGGGAAATAATTGGAAGAATGAATTTATCTTTTTTATTTAGAGTCAGCTTGTTGTTTAGAGTTGTTGTTTAATTATTGTAACCATACAGATGTTCAAAACAAATTACAAGCTTCAAAAAGGGAGCAAAAATACCCCATGGGCAGCTATCAGTCATACTTTGAAATAGAACTGAACATGCCTGACATGTGAGACATGGTGCATGCCTGTAATCCTAGCACTTGGGAGGCTGACGCAGGAGGATCACCATGAGTTTGAGGCCAGCCTGCGCTACCTAAGCAAGTTCAAGGCCAGCCTGAACTGCACAGTGAGACTTTGTCTCAAATAAACCAAAAAGAAAAAAGAAAGAAAGAAACCAGAACACAGGCTGTTTATTCACCCTGACTTCTCTGAGGGTTTTTAGCTTAGCTAAGTAAGTACAGCTGTTTCACCTGTGACTTGTTCAGTTTTCAAAGTGACAAGCCAGTCTCATTTGTGCTGTTTCCTTTTAAGATAAGAATTAAAGTACAGAGGCTGGGGATTTAGCTCAGCAGCATAAGCGCCTGCCTTGCAAGTGTGTGGTCCTGAGTTCGATCCCTGGTACCAATAAAAATGAAAAAGACCAAAAAAAAAAAATCATTAAAGTACTGTTTCCTTCCCTCTTTCAGTATGGAGTCTGGTTCTTCAGAAAGCCCTGCTAGCATGAAGAGAGGAGCTTCCCCAGCCACCAAGCCGGCCGTGTCGGGTGAAGGTGAGGACTTCATTGCTGTTAGGTTTTTAGGGAGGGGAGAGGGGCATTGTGTAACACATACAGTAAATGCTTGACGTGAGACGGAACTTCACTGCTAATTCATGATCAAGATGCGAAAGAATATTTATTACGTTAAATAATTTCTTGTTTTCTCTGGTCTGTTTCATGTCACAGACCTAAGTATTATATGTACACCAGACTACAGAAGGAGATATTATTTTAAATTTTTAAAAGTGAGCAAGATCTATGTAATTCAGGCCCTATGGTAAAAACTCCATGTCTTTTCTACATTCAGTGCAGTATTATCATAGCACTAACCAAGAAATGCCAGCTGAGTCAGGCTTTCCGCATAGAAGTCTGCATGTGTTTTGGAGTCAGCAGATGTCACAACTTCCCAGTTTTGTCATAATTTGTTAGGGGTCCCTGGAATAAAATGTATGAGGATAGAAGTTTTATTTACTTTGCTATAATAAAATTGTTGCATTCCTCAGACACTTTGCCTAATGAAAATGCCATTATCAAAATAATTATTTCCATGGAAATTGCAAATGAAAAGATTTAATGGTAGTTCAGACTTGCTCATAAAAGCATTTGTTTTGCAAGAGAAAGTTTGAAAGGTTTTTTTCTTTTTTTAAAGTTTACAAGTATAGAATTCATTATCACTAAAAACTTACAGTATTTTTTCACATCCAGTATTTGTTACCAGCATGAAAACAATTATAAACATAATTCTCTTGGTATAGTTCTCTTAATAGCTTTTTAAATCTGTTAATTAAAGGAGCGGGGCAGAAAGCACATTTAAATACAATATGTACTATCGAAGTAGAAAAAGCGAATTTTGCTCCCTCTTTAATAAAACTGGCAATGAATCTTCATTGTGTTATTCCCAGACAGGGCCTAGTGTAGGGCTGGAGTTGATCCTGGCTGTGCCATGTAGTAGCCATACAGATGCAAGGCCTCGATAAACAGGTCACACAAGTGAAACACATTTTTTTTTTTCTGAAAATCAGGCAATAGAATAGAAGTAAATCCCAATCTTAGTTGGTTAACTATTTGAAATAAGGTGTTAGAAATATTAGGAAACATTGCCGGCATCACAGAGGAGTTTTGTGAGGGGACATCAGGGTTAGAGATTCCTGGAGAGGCTGTTTTCAGACATTGGTGAGCCTCTTGTTATTGCATTGAACATCATCTAATTTCTTTTTTGGGGTGAGGGGAACAGGAATCAGACTCAGGGCCTTGTGCTTGTCGGGCAAGGACTATGCGGCTAAGCTATACTCCCAGCCCCAACACTGTCTAGTTTAAAGTAAACTATAAACCAGGTTAGATTTCCCACCCGGGTAGCTCTTTAAACAGTGACTTGTGCCTGCATCCTTTGTTAAATGTCTCTTGAGAGGACATCACTGACCCAGAGCCCTCTGACCTCGCTTGTCCTGTTTCTGGGCATCCCTGTCATGCAGCAGTCTTGCAGACGCCTGCGTGCATTGCAGGTTGTACAAAGCTTCCAGCCTCTGCAGGCTCCTTATGTTGTAAACTGCAATAGTAGATTCACCCACAAGTCATGTTTTTGAAGTTCCTGTACATGTTGAAAGTTGCTTCAAATTTTGGACCAGCCGGGCATGGTTACACTAACCTATAATTCCAGCATTATTGGAGGCTGATACAGGGGGTCACAAATTCAAGTCCAGCCTAGGTAACTTGGCAGTTTAGCAAGATCTAGTCTCAAAAAATACAAAAGAACTGAAGATACAAAGGCTCTGGGATCAATCCCCAGTACCGCAAGGGGAGAACATAAAATTTGGACCCATTTTTAAAGAAATTGACTTTTAGAGTCGGGCGTGGTGGCTCACGCCTGTAATCCCAGCACTCGGGAGGCTGAGGCAGGAGGATCGTTGCGAGTTTGAGACCAGCCTGGGCTATAAAGTGAGCTCAAGGCCAGCCTGAACTACATAGCGAGACCCTGTCTCAAAAAGACAAAAAAAAAAAAAAGAAAAGAAATTGACTTTTAAGGTGAAGAATCACCAGGGAAAATATAGGTTGCCCAGGATCCTCTCTGAAATAGCCAGTGGAAACTAAAGAACAGTCACCAAGAGAAAGATGACAAGGGCAGGGTCAGAATACTGAGGAATCAGGAAAAGTGAAACTATATTACTACAAAGAAAATGCCCTAATTGAGGCCAGCAAACTTTAATTTCAATGAGTGGAAGTGACTTTCCCGTTTTCAGCTGTGGAGCTGTGTCAGCAGTGCTGGAGGAATGAAGACAGACTTCCCTAAGAAAGGTCCCTAAGAAAGGGACCACAGGGCTCTTGGGGGTCCCATGCTGTCTCCCAGCAGTCCCTACTGGCCACAGTGCACAGGTGGTTGTGGAAGCTGAAGGAGGCCACTTTAGATCTCAGGGGCCCACATCAGCACATGTCCCAGGGGTTTTGTGTTTCCGTGCATTTTAGTTTTTGTTAGTACCTTCTCCAGAGGTTGTGATAATTGAGCAGTGGAGTCTGCATACTAAATTTCTGCCTGTGCATCAACATTAGAGTCTCTAAAGAATGTTGCCTGAGATTATACTGAGCCACTACCTCACCCCATCCTAAAAATGAACTTTTTGAGTCAGTTGTGATTTTTCTGTTGTTGTTTTTTTTTAATGTGGAAGTCTGGTATAAAATGCAGAAAAATATAGAAATAGTAAACATATGCATCTTTGTAAATCTTTTCTTACTGTACCTATATCTAAGATTTTTGTATTTTCTGAGAGTATGACTTTGTTCTAAGTCTTAGTAGCATAAATTAAAAGCAATGCAGAGTTATACTTATAATTAAAAAAGAGAAACTTCTGAAATGTACATCCTGAAGACTTTTAAACGTATTATTTCTTTAAGACTAACTAACATGAATTAAGAAAATGTGATAGACTGTGGTTTGTCTTTTTACTTTATTGACAGAGGCTTATTTTCTAGGGTTAGATAGACATGATTTTCATTATCAGTCTACTCTGCTTGTTCACACATTGAAGTGATACATAGATGCCCCCCTGCCCTTTTTTGTACCAGGAATCAAACTCTAGACCTTGCCCTTGCAGGCAGGTGCTGTGGCACTGAACTAAATCCCCAGCCCTACATGGCTAGATGGTTTTTTTCGGGGTGGGGGGGGAGCGCGATTGGGGTTTGAATTTATGACCTTGTGCTTGCCAGGCAGGCACTTATACCACTGAGCTAAATCCCCAGCCCCTGTTACCTGTTTTTTATTTTGTATTCTAATAGCCTTATGCTCTCTGTGTATGTGGCACAATAGGCCATAATAAAAAGTTACTTACTTTAATCTGTAAGTTGATACCCTCAAAATTGAAACAGACTTTTGCACAGCAAAAGCCATTTTCATTTAAAAAGCAATAATGTGAACCTAAATCACGGGTTGTTTTGGTATTCAGTATTGGTGGACACACAGTTACAGTTTGTCCCTCTGCTGGGTCTTCACAGGCATGAGCTCCCTGTCTGCAGTTACTGCATTTTTATGTGCAGTTGGGGAAGTGGAGCCCAGCATATTCCACAGCTCTGTACTTTTCTGCCATAAGCCTTTTTCTTGAATGGATTGTACCCTAACTTCCCAATTCATAAACTTGGTTTTGCAAAGATGTTTGGGATTTGTCTAAAACAATCAAGCTCTCTCCATATCTCCGTATTTCTCCCCACCAGAATTTATTGCCATGTACACTTACGAGAGTTCTGAGCAAGGAGATTTAACCTTTCAGCAAGGGGATGTGATTTTGGTTACCAAGAAAGATGGTGATTGGTGGACAGGAACAGTGGGCGACAAGTCCGGAGTCTTCCCTTCTAACTATGTGAGGCTTAAAGACTCAGAGGTAAACTCACATTAACTACTTCCTCTCCTCTCCTGCGCGGTGGTTCTTCTGCGGGGAGTTATGCTGTTTATCACTTGAACACCCTATTGGGTTTTGCTAAGTTTTTGAGCATGACAGTAGCCACAGTGTGACCTGGAACTGTCCTACCTTGTCATCTGGCGCTGTGGAGTAAGCATTGGCTTCCCACAATTCCACAGAATTCCTGGGGCCAAAAGGAGGCTGCCTTAGAAGATGGTCTTTGTTCTCTGGATTGTAATGTTAATAATATCTATTCCTGCATGTAACCAATTTAGGATTTGGAATAAACTTCTTTGCTTAGTTCTTCATGGTCGATGCGTCTTAGCAGCCTTCTATTTTAGCGTGGGCAGCAGCAGTTTGCCCATGTAAAATAAAAAGTATTCTGATGATACTAGAATATTGGGCAATGGAAAGTTTCTTAATTTCTTTCTTTTTTGGACACAGGATACAAAAGCAAAGAGGTTAGTATATTTCGGGGGTGCTATTATCTTTGCTGGAAATGACTCCCATGTTACTAAAAACAGCCCTACAAATTTGATTGTGTGAAAAATGATCTTGAGGTCCTACAAGCTGAGCAAAATGGAGAGAGAAAGACCATGGAGGACAGGAACCTGTCTTATAGTGAAGTAAATGTAGGGTGTAAATGTCATAATCCAACAGAGCCATAAAAATAAATGAACAAGAATTCACTCTTTTTTTGGTTTTGTTTATTTGCTTTTTTTTAAAAGCACAGTCAATGCCCCTTTATTTTCTTTTTCTCCTCATACCTCATAGGCTTAGAGAAAAAGGGCTGACAGATGCTGGAGAGACCAAGTTCTTCAGTGCAAGCATGTGACAGATGTCTGGCGCGCTCTTGCATAAATCCAGGAAGAGGCGTACTCTGGGTTCTTCTGTGCCTTCCTGGTTCCTAGTGGCCCAGGGCACAGCCCTGCCACTTTCCCTGCAGTTCCCAGTAATGATTTTAAATGCTTTTTTTTTCTGAAGAGATTTCATTACTGTTTTTACTGTTTTTCTTACTATGGTCTTGCAAGCAGCTTGCAGAAATTCCCTTACATGGATTTGTATAGCTCTGCCTGCCATTAGAGAATTTGACAGAAGCCTGGAAGAAAATCATTTTCCTCTGTCAGACAGCTGGCTTATTGAACTCTATAGACCTACAAGGGCGACTTAAACTCTTCTCCAGACCAGCAACTCAGCTCCAAGAAGAATCAGACAGATGCTCATTCAGGAAGTGCTAGAAAATAAATCCAATTTCTGTTATCATGGGTGAAAACTCTTAAAAAGTGACACTACCTTTTGGATCACTTAAAATACAAAAGCCATTTGATTTGCATTTAAATGTATTTTGACTTTATTAAATTTATTTGCACTTTGGCTAAAGTCTATTTACATAGGGAATTTAATAACATTTAATACATAATAAAATCTAAATCAACACTGAAAACCACAATAGCTGTTGTATCATATTACAGTGTTACAGTTTTGATTTTTAGCTATGGAGTTCATGTATTAACAAAGTTTCGTCCCCAAACTTAAAAGCCAGGCCAAGCTTCACATGCCAGACTATGGGCCTGGGCAGGGCTTGCCCTCCCCACCACCCTTTTCTGAAGCTCAGTGTTTTTGCCAGTGTAACTAGAACGGAACCTGATCTTCTGGGTACATTTAGCCCATCGTGCTGGCTGTGGTTTCCCAAAGGGAGCAAGCATGTGGAGCCACTTGAACTTACGGTTGAGAATTACCAGTACTTTCTTCTTTTCATGGAATGTAGGAAGCGTAGTTTAAGCCTGTACAGGGAAGTAACTGGTCACTTGGAATCTTATTTCATTGATATTCCTTTATTTGATATGCAGCCCATAAAAATAGCAAGACAGATTGATATTGTATTATTATTTCCTTAAGTAAAGAAAGCATAATCAGAGTAAACATTTAACCTGAACTTTTTCTGGTAAATGATTATTAAGTTTCAATAACCAAAAATATAGGAACAGTGATCAGTTGGCTTCCTGGTAAATAAATTACATGTTTTTACTCTACAATAGTTCTCATTTAGTTTCTTATGCCCTTTGCTTTATTTTAATTGAAATGCTCAATTTTCTGCCAGACAGGGAATTGAGAGCGAACATTTATTTATAATAAAGCACTTTGTCAGAACAGATGGTCTCTGGCTCGTGTCCCAGCTCTTGTGGCCTCTGTTGGCTAACTTCACTGGTTTAAAGTTCCATGAGTGTCCAAAAGAGGAACTCAGGCCCAGAGCACTTCTGGTGCACTTAGTAGCTGGAAAGAAACAGGGTCTGCTTCTGTGGGAGGAGCTTCCAGCACAGTGAGAGAAATGTCGGTGTTCAGACAGTGCAAAATAGGGAGGAAAGGCTGTGCAGCCCGCTTTGGGTAGAGAGAGGCAAATGAAATGGAAAAAGGGAGGAGCCCTTATCCCTGCGCCACATCACCGAAAAGAAGAACCCAGCCCTTAGGAGGCTGAGCCCGGAGGATGGCTGCAATTTGAGGCCAACCTGGGCTACATAGTAGGTTCAAGACCACACAGTGAGATCTTGTCTCAAAACAAACCCAAAATTTAATAAAAACTCAAGAGCAAATGTAGCAAAATAGGAATGTTTTAACACATTAGATCTGGATGGTAGACTCGTAGGTGCCTGGTACAGTCTTTACACGTAAAATGTTCCCTAATTAACCATTGGAACATGAAGTTTGAGCAGAATCTGAGGGCACGATCTTCCTAGCACACAGCCGCCTGCTGGCTTAGTCCAGGTCCCGGGTGACCTGTGCCACCCACAGTCCCTACCTGGGCCCTTTGGGATGCCACGTGCTTGGCTCTTTTATTTTCCTAAAGAAAAGAGAAGAGTCACTGGTTAAAAAGCACCTATTTGGTCCGTATTTTCTTGATGTGCACTCTCCTGTCAGGTGACACAACGCTCATGTTTGCCCAAAACAAAGGGATTTAGGGCTCCGGTGAGTTTGTATCACTAATCATTTTTATGTTGTGTGATCAAAAATCTTCAGCATGTAAATGAGACCTTTTGCTCTGTTTTAAGGGCTCTGGATCTGCTGGAAAAACAGGGAGTTTAGGAAAAAAGCCTGGTAAGTTACAAATCCCAATGCTTATTTTTCCATGTTGTGAATGTAATTAATGATTTTTCCCAGTTTTTGTTTATTAGTGCCAAAAAGTTAAACACAGAAAGACTCTTTCCCAAGTCTTGGAGGAGCAGGTTAGAGCAGATCTTTTTTGGGGAACCCATTAATAACACATAGATGTTTATGAAATTTCGCTGTTGCTTCACACGTTGGGAGCAGGGGTGTTACTAGACCGAAGGTTCTCTGGGGTTGTAAGGAAATAACTCGGGCAGGATGGTGGGAAATTGTCATGCATGGAGCTGTAAACCTGGAGTTAGTAGTTTCTCAGTCATGTTTGGCTCAATAAACCCCTTTCCACTCCCTGACAATAACACTAATCCCCAAGACATAATCAGTGGAGGAATTCGGAGGAATAACAGATACCATCAGATTATGGCTCTTGCTAATTTAGAAGCAACTGGGTGGTTTTCCTCAGGTACACACTGAAGGTACAAAATTACAGTCCTGCCTCTGGACTCAGAGTTTTAGTTTATTCAAACAAAATCACATGTTCTATAAATAGTAGCACAAAAGAGAAAAGGAAGCAGATGTGAAATAATATGGTTTGTAAGGCCCGTCCCCGTCTTCCTAGCCTAGGTCATTTGTGCTTTTTCGCTGTCATAGCCTTAGGAAATTATTATAGGTTGGAACAGTCACTGCTCTGTTGAGAGAGGTTTATGTGTCTGTCTGGAACTTAGCTCTAAATGGGCTTCTGTAGCAGCAAAGGCAGGCGTCAGATTGGTGAGGGTCTTAGACTTTAGATAGATAGTAGACCATCTGGTCCAAGCTCTTTAACTGTGGGTCTTACATTTTAAATACTTGCCACTCCAAAGGGTCTTGGTAGCTCATCTGTAGGACGCCAGGTGGGGTTAACTTCGCGCCAAGGCTAGCAAGCTGCCTCAGGCACTCAAAAGGAGCACAGAATGCAGTGGCAGATCGCTGGCTTGTATGCCAGGTGTGCTAAGGAGCTGAAACAGCTGATGCCAAATAGGACACTCGCTGAGACTTCTCCAGACCCAAGCCTCTTGGAAGTAATGCTTGTCCTTGGCATGTTACTCAAGAGTCTTCATCCCCTGAGGTTCCCAGCTGGGGCTCTCAGTCAGAGCCACCCGATCCTGGGCTGGGCTGCTGGGCTGCGGGCTTCCGTGCTTCCCTGAGCTCTCTGAAGCAGCAGGCAGCCCAGGCCTCCCCATAATTTAGCACCCCTGTCATCAGATTGCAGAACAACACAGCTGGGCCTTGCCAAAGTGCCAGGCCCTTACTCCTCGCCTGAGCTATTAGGAAAGTAGGAGACCTGTTAGAGCATAGGCCCTCTCTGCCTCCTGTCTTTCCACCTTTCTTTGCCTTGACATTCTTTCTTTCTTCTTTTTGCTGTCCTTTCCTTCCTTTCAGAAGTCATTGCAATGGACAGTGAGCATAGAATAGAGCAGTTTGTTCTGTGTTGCTTTCGAAAGTTCAGGGAAGTGCCTGCAGCTGTACCAGAAGCTGTCTGAACAGAAATCACTTTTTTATGCTTGACATCGGAGCCAGCAGAAATGGCTCTTCAGAGCCTGGTCTGTGTCTTGCTGGGATTTTTAACATTCAGGAGAAGTACAGAACTGTTTATAGTGTTTTCTCTGCGCTGCATCATTATTTTTGCATAAAATTCTCCTTTAACACCAGGTTCCTTCTTGAAATAAAAGAAATAAACTCTCACTGCCATGATGCATAGCAGAAACTCAGGGATCACTCCCAAAGTAGGAGCCATAAAGAAAATGAGAGTTTAAAACGATGCATAAGTGACCTGAAGCTAGGCTCTTAGGATGGTTTCAGTGGAAAATGGAATTTCTTTTTCCACTGTGTTTGGCAGAGAGTTGCCTTGAGTTTTTTACCAAGTACTGAGGGGCGAAAGGAGTGGATGAGGGCCAGCCCTTCGCAACAGGTGTTCACATCGGCGCTGGGAGGGCTGGGGTGGAAGGTGTGGGGAGCCAGGGGAGTTTGGCGGGAAGTTGGTAAAATAAACTCTGGACAGTGAGGAAGTTCCATGGCACACTGAGCCATTCAGAAAGATCAGCCCAGTGTGACTGCTGCAGGGACACTGCGGCTCTGGGAAGGGGTGCGACAGGACCATCACGGCCTCCCTCCTTCCCTCGAATGGGGGGGAAATGAGCTCAGGTGCCGCTTGTGGCGCTGCTAACCTGTGACCTTCCAGGGTGCCTGTGTCTTCTTAGGGGGTTCCCTTCTCCTCACTCTGACCATGCTCTGCAATGTTTGATCTTGTGTTTCAGAAATCGCTCAGGTTATCGCCTCCTACACTGCTACCGGTCCCGAGCAGCTTACTCTGGCCCCTGGTCAGCTGATTTTGATCCGAAAAAAGAATCCAGGTGGATGGTGGGAAGGAGAGCTGCAAGTTAGTGTCTTTTCTATGTGTTTAAACTTGTCTGTCCGAGGATGAGCATGCAAAATCTCAAAGGCACAGAATTTTCTTGCTAAGTACAGAGAACCCCTTATTGCCTAAATCTTGCGTATGGATAGTGAGAGACCCGATCATGTCGGAATCTGTTTGTTTCCTAAGCTTCAGACAGCCAGCAGCAAGAGCTAAGGCTTCATCTGAAACTTCATCCATCCAATTTCTGAGCTCAGACCCTTAGTGTAAAGTCTAATTTATAGGATGGTTGATGCCTGCATACATTTTGGTCTCTGGAAGTGAAGTATAAGGTGTGCCATGGTAGAGGTTTCTGTTTATGCAAAGCCACATCTGTTTTTAGTTCGTGTGTGTGTGTGTGTGTGTGTGTGCATGTGTATTATTACTGTTTTGTTACTCAGTTTGCAGTTCCACATACTTCCTTTAAGTTTCATTTCCAGAGATAAAAGTGCTTTTAAAACGGTTATTGTTACCCTTCATCATGGTAAAGATTGTTGGAATCCTTACTGGATAATAAATCTAGGAACTCAAAATGTAAGGACAGAAAATATATGTAGTCTTAAAGTGATTTCCGCAGATCATATAATATTTGCAAGGCGAAAGACAATAATTTCAGGGGCTGGGGATTTAGCTCAGCGGCATAAGCACCTGCCTTGCAAGCACGCAGTCGTGAGTTCGATCCCTGGTACCAGTAAAAAAAAAGACAGTAATTTCACAGTTGTCACTTAGGATATCACCTCAGTCAGGTGGTCAAAGTGTTCATCACCAGTGAGGACAAAAGGACTTACTTCTTCTGCATAGTTTTTGTGCTTTTTGAAAAGGACACAGTTGTCATGAACAGAAAGCATCAGCTGAGTCTAACCCTGAGGAAACATTGGACATTCCCAGAATTGGGAATGTTCCATTAACGGGGCCAGGAGGGATTGTATTCTTCACAATTGGCAAAGGTAAAACCAGTAGAAAGGAGGATCAAAAAGAGATGACCATGGATGGTAATATCTGATTCTAGACTAGATCTCATGAAAGAGTGAAACGTGTTTTACAGAATATTATGGGATAATGGACAGAACTGGGATATAGACACTAGATTAGATAACATTACCATACCAGTATTAAATTTACTAAAATTGGTAACTGCATTGTGGTTCTATAACTACCCACAAAGTACTTAGGGGCAAAGAAGCACGATGCAAACAATTGTAATCAGATGATTCAGAAAAAGGAATTACAGGGACAAAGAGAGAGGGACAAAGAACGAGCCAATGATGAAGCAGGTGAGGTTGAGCACGTTAGCAGCAGGTGAATCCAAGGGTAGGGTACAAGTGTTCTTTTGCTTATTCTTTCAACTTTTCTGTAAGTTTGAAGTTATTTCTAAACAAAAAGACATTGAAAAAATGTTACTTCTGTAGAAATTACAGTTGACCCTCCATAGCTGTAGGTTCCATATCCATGAACTCAACCAGCCACAAACCGACAATATTTGAGGAAATTTTTATCTGTATTGAATGTGAGTGGACTTTCTTTTCCCTGTTCATTATCCCCTAAATAATGCAGAGTAAGAGCTACAGTACTAGCATTTACCTCCTATTAGGGATTATAGCAGCCTGGAGAGGATTTAAAGTATTTTACACGATATGCATAGATTATGGGCAAGTACTGTCATGTTAGCCAGGCGTAGTAACTGTGTCAGCCTGGACTACATAGTATCTGTCTCAAAAAAAAAAAAAAAAAGACAACTTTCATTTCATAAAGAGACCTAGTGTCCTCCCACCTGTGGGTAAGTGAAGGACAATGTCCTTGAAAGGTGAGCTTACTGACTCTTAACAAGAGTGTATCCTTCCTGCACCTCCTACCTCCTACTCCCAGAGTTAAACCCAGTTTGGAAAAGCAGGCCCCCTTTGGCTTCTTAGCATATTATGAAGGACAGGGGCTGCAGCCTTCCTAAGGGGCCTGCCAAAGAGCTGAGTTTCTTAGCAGCTGTCAGGTCCTAGTGCAGAGGGACACAGCAGCAGTGGGCACCGAGCCTGTTGTCCTCCTGGAGAGCTGAGCATGGGACCTGCTGCAAAACACAGGGGGTCTCAGCAAATAATGGCTGGCTCTGGAGACAAAGGGTTTCCAGAATCCTCTTGTGGGTATCCCTAGGAAGGAGCCTGCAGGAGCCCTTTAGCGTGCAATATGGGCTGCTTCTCACGTCACCCAGTTTGCATCTGGCTGTGAGCAGGACTGTGTGGGGGTCAGGTAAGTCAGAGATGGAGGGGAAAACAAGGGGAAGCTGCTCTGTGGGGCACTGGCCAGGCAGGCAGACCCATGATGGGGGTCCGGAACAGCATGAGCAGGAGACACCTCACAAAGGGAAAGGACTTGCCAGGGAAGGTCTCCAGACACACTGTTCCCCTCACCACGTTGTCCAGACCAACCTGGGCAAGGAGGGGAAGATCTGTGTTGTGGCAAACTGGATGCCCAGTCTCCTACTGGATTAAAGAAATGCTGTTGGCAGAAGAGAAGGCACAGCCTGGCGTATAGCTAATGATGAAGCTTCCCTCTGGGAGTTTGCTGCTGGGCAGCGTAACAACCCTGGCCAGAGTGCTGGCCAGCACTGCTTACTAGCTCAGAACCCTGACCTTTAGAGTCCAGGACAGGACATCCACTGTGCTTTTGGTTTATTTGATGTTTTTGTTTTTGTGTGTTTTTAAAGAATGTTTTTTATTTTAAAAAGAATTAAAACCAAGCAAAATAAAACCAGTCAAAACAAAACAGTGTAAGTGGCACAGAATTTCAAAAAAGAAAATCATCACTGGCTACCATAATGCCTCTTACTGTCTTCAAAATAGCTGCCCATACCTTCAGACATAGTAAATCAGAACAAAACAGGAAAGAACCAATAAAAACAAAACAATGAATGCAATAGAGGCCTTCACAACAAGATAATAATAAATCCAAATGACCACCATGATATATCTTGTTATGCTTGAAATAGCTGCTCATGCCATCAGATATAATACAGTCAAACAAGACAAAACAGAGTAATACCAAACCCAAAAAAACAGCGAAACGATACAAGACTTTAAAACAAAGTAATAGGGAATTAACAATGGCTACCACCTTAAGAAGGAGAATCCCACACTGCGTATCGTTATCCTCTAAGTAGCCGATCAGACTATCTGCAAAGTCAGTGAAAGACTAAACACTACAAGCGTGAAGTTATATTTTACTCAAATTGCTATTGTCTTAGCCTGTGTTTCTCTTTGTTTTTGTTTTTTAAGACAAGGTCTCACTATGCAGTGCAGGCTGGCCTTGAGCTCACTTTGTAGCCCAGACTGGCCTCAGATTCATAGCACTCCTCCTGCCTCAGCTTCCCAAGTGCTGAGATTGTAGGCATGCACCACTATACCTGGCTCCATGCCACATTTTTTTTGTTATTTTTGTTTTTTGTTTTTGATACCAGGAATCGAACTCTCAGCCTCGTACTTGCCAGGCAGGCGCTTACACTGCTGAACTAAATCCCCAGCCTCCATGCTGCTTTTTAATGGCCTATTCCAGCATGCGCAGAGAGAGACCTGCGCTGCCCAGCAGGGCCCGCTTCCTGTTTCACTGTGCCATCACCGCCTGCTGTCTTTGGTCTGACTGTTCCCCTCCTACTTTGAAGGCTTGAGAGATGACCTTTGTCCTTCCTTGTGAATTTCCCCCTGTGCCCCTCTTCCCTTTGCAGCCTTAACATCTTACCACTCTGCAGTGTCATCTTCACTCTAGCCCTGTGCAACAGTCACAACCCTCCAGGCTCTTGTACCTGCCTCCTTGGCTCAGGGTTCCCCGATGAAGTTGACTTCTGCCTCTCTTTGGTTCCTCCAGGGCCAGCCACATCCCACCCCTTCCAGAAGCTTTCAGGAACCATCTCAATCAGAAGTGCCACCTCCTTTGCACTGAATTTGGGGGATGACTCCCGGCCAGCACTATTCTTTGGTGTTTCATAGCCAGTGCTGACATAGGTGCTTAGCTTTAAGTCCAAACATTAGGCGATACGTTCCTTGAAGGCTACATGGTTTTTTTGTTTGTTTGCTTGCTTTTTTGGTACTAGGAATTGAACTCATGACCTCGCCCTTGCCTAGCAGGCCCTGTACCACTGAACTGTATCCCTGGCTCAACGCTACATGTTTTTTAGACCTCACGTTCCTGACACCTTGCTCAGAGGAATTTTGAATAGTTCTAGGAACCCATGACAAAGTGGGTGGATTTCCTTTGCCAGGGGTAGCTTCTGGAGCTCTCACTAGGGTGACTGTCAGTGAGAATGCACCCAGGGGTCACCCAGAGCTCTGTTCTGCCCTTGTAAAGCTGCAGAGGTGGGGGACGTAAGGAGTCACAGTGAGCCACGTGGCAGTCCACTTGATAGCAGTGCTTATGGGCACCTGTGAACACGTGGCTCCAGTCGTCGGCAGATGCACTGTGAAAGTAAGAGCTTCAGTTCTTGAACCAAGGGCACGCAGTCCATCGGACCAGAGACTGAAAGCTCCTGCAGCCTAAAGTAACCCTGATATGTCAGCGGGTGCGAGCCGGAGCTAACATGGTAGAAGTTTTCTTCTACTTTCAGCTCCTTTGTTTTCGCCATTCCCAGAGGCAGCTGCTTCTTTGAGAGCACTTTCTAGAGATACTGTCTGTCTGCATGCATGTGCATGTGTGTGAGAGTTCTCTTTTGGGTGACAGGTGGCCCTGCCCCGGTCCTCTCTATAGTCTTTTTATAACTGTAGGTCTTGGCTCGCTGACCGTACCATACGTTCTTCGGTGTCATACACCGACCCTTCAGACAGCCAGGGGTTGAACATGAAATAAATGGTGTGGAATCAGGCTAAAGTGAAGGAGGAAGGGACAGAAGTGTAACGGGTGGCTGTAGTCAGAGAGGGGGCCAGAGCTCTGTGAAAACAGCACCACCCTAAGACACCTTGTGCTCTGTGCACACTGCGTGTACACTGCCGTGCACCTAAGGGTGTGTTTACCCGTAAAGAAAGAGTACAGATGTGAGTGTAAATTTTGGCTTACCTCTGACCAGCCTGCAGCCTTGGGACTGTTGCTTTTTCAACCTTGTTCTTCATCGAGAAATTGGTGACAATGTCCTTCTGGACTTGTTGTGTGGATACTTACACATAAGGTGCATGGCACGGGCCTGGCTCATAAAAAGCACACTGAGTATTGATGATCAATATTACTATTATCATTGTTATTATTAGTCCTAAGGCCCATGTTGACATTAATTATAACTGCTGCATTACCTGAAAATAGCAGCCAAGTATTAACTTTCTGTATTAGACACCACAGAATAGCCTACATTTGTGATCCAGCCATTAGCAAAAACATTCCAGGCTTTGCCAACTGTGGATGCCACAATTTGAATTTTTGGTGTCAGTGGTTTGTTTTTGGCAGAGTAACCCATCAATGCTACTGTTAATGCCCTTTGCATTTCTTTTCTGTGTACATTTTACCCAAAGCAAAGCAAATTGTATCATAAGAGAAGAGGAAGCTCTTAAAACGTTTCATACACTTATTTTCTTAATAGGCACGTGGAAAAAAACGCCAAATTGGGTGGTTCCCAGCAAACTATGTCAAACTTCTAAGCCCTGGGACGAGCAAAATCACTCCGACAGAGATACCCAAGTCAGCAGCCGTGCCGGCAGGTAAGGAGGGAGTGCGCCAGTCTCCTTGGAAAACAATCTGCATGGTACTTCGGCTTTTCCCGCCAGGGGCCTTGTTCTGCATCTAGATTGTTTCCCACTTGTGCTTTAAGCACTTCTCACGCTTGCTGGGACTGACACCCAGCTAATGGATATGGAATATGTTTTTCAAAAGGACCTAATGTCTGAGTAGCTTGACTGTGCTGGGTACAACAGGGCCCTTGTTGGAATTCTCCTGAAGGAATCGTGAATGCTTTGGCCTTAAAGTCAGATTTTTTTGTCTTCTTTGCTTCCAGCTGTTTAAATTGAGATTTGGTGTGAGGTGACAGAAAGGGGATTCTAAAAATAAATGGCGGAAGTCTAGTTCAGTCCGAAGGTCGAGCTGGAGGCCATGGGGGTCTGTTGGTTGTAATGTGTGTTCACAGGACCCAAAATAACTAACTCCCTGGTGACATTTACTGTAACAGAGGGTCCTCGCTGAGCTGGCAGGATGTTGTGCGTACTTTCTTAGAGTCCTGAAAAAAGACAGCACCCTGCCATTGACCCAGTCGGGTATTTTTCTGATCTAAGGAACTAAATTAGATGTTCAGTAATATTTGTGAGAGGGGAGTGGAAGGGAGCAGATTCTGCTTTGGGTCATGAAGCCACTAATCCTTGGGTGGCATTTGTGGGAAGCATGGAATTTTTTGTTTCATTGCCTTGTGGTTAAATATCTGGGCTATACGCTGTCAGTAAAGTCAGATTAAAACTTGGCAGCCTTTACAAGAACCTGAAGGATTGGCAAACTTCATGACTGAATCCTGAGCCAGGCGGGGCCTCCTTGCTTGAGCTGAGGCCCCTTGTAGGCAGAGGGTATGTTATCAGCTAGATCTGCTGGGCCTGGGCAGCCCTGGTGGTGGCTCCCCCCATCAGTGGCAGCCCTTTCCCCATTGAAATCATTTGTGGAAATGGCTCGCTGGGAGCTGAAACCTGTACTGTATGTTGATCAGATTAACTGGAGAAGCCATGTTGCCTATGGTACTAACTACCCAAAGCAAAGAGGTGCCAGGGAATGAGAATGATTCATGAGAATCATTAAGGAGAGAGAGAAAGGAGAAAAGTTAGTCCTGGATGCAGAAATGTCTTTGAAATGTAAAGAAGCAGCAGGATATGTTTTTCCCACTGTACTTCCTCTCTCCTTCCTGTCCTTTCTTCTTTCCTTCCTTCCTTCTTTCCTTCCTTCCTTCCTTCCTTCCTTCCTTCCTTCCTTCCTTCCTTCCTTCCTCTGTCTGTGTCTCTCTCTGTGTCTTTCTTTCTCTCTTGCATTAGGGATTGAACAGGACCTTCACGCTGAGCTGCATCCCTACAGAGTCTCACTAATTTGCCCAAGCAGATTTTGAAATTCTGATTTTCCTGCCTCAGCCTCCCAGAATGCTAGAATTACAGCTGTATGCCACCATGCCTAGTACAAAATAATCTTTTGAAATACAATCTGGAAGTTTTCTCAGAGGTCACATAATAATTATTTTTCACCTTTAAAAATGGAGAGAAGGAGGTCTGCATGTGTGCTTCCAGTGGTGGAATGCTCAGCCAGCATTCATGAGGTTTTGGGGCTAGGGCCCCAGCACTACAGAAAAAAAAAAAGAAGGAAAAATGATAGCGTGTTCCTGGTCCCCAGCTGTCCATCCTGTGCAGCAGAGCTAGGCAGGTGTCACTCAGTCCCCCAGAGTCAGCACTGAGGGTCCCACCCCTCTCAAAAGGAAAGATTCATTTTCACTAACATCCCGCTGACCAGTAAATATGAAAAAGAGGAAGATGTTATAAAAAGTAAAAGCAATGTGAAAATTTTGCTGTCGTCTTGATTTTTAATCCTTTGCCTTCTCTATTCCCCACACTGAAAACTCCTTAAGACCACTTCCACTTCATTGTAGCCTTTTCCGAAAGGGCAGAAATAACCCACGAGAAAGGCTGCGAGGGCTGCGGTGCACACCCCAGGCCTGGGCAGCCGCTCACCCAGCCCTGTCTCCTGCAGTGTGCCAGGTGATCGGGATGTACGATTACACGGCTCAGAACGACGACGAGCTGGCCTTCAACAAAGGCCAGATCATCAACGTCCTCAACAAGGAGGACCCTGACTGGTGGAAAGGGGAAGTCAATGGGCAAGTGGGGCTCTTCCCATCCAACTACGTGAAGCTGACCACGGACATGGACCCCAGCCAGCAATGTAAGTGCCCTCGTGGCCAAGTTCCTCTCCTCTCTGGAATCTTCCAGTAAGACATGCAGCATTGCTCTGATTCTGCTGAGCTTTGTTTGCAGAACTTAAAGCGAGACCACTGCTGCATTCACAAGAGTCTCTTTGAAGACCTTCTGTAATGCGAGACTATCTTGTGGGGCTGTTTTGGTTTTGGTTTTTATTTATTTATTTTGTTGTTTCTTTTTAATTTTCATTCCTTCTGTAGCATGTCCCCTCCCTCCCCTCCCCCTCTTTCCTTTTTCTTTTTTTTTTTTTTTTTTTTTTTTTACCATTTTGGCACCATGCTGTTTACATGCCTGACTCATTTTCCTAGCTTGAATTTTGCTCATTGTTTTGTTTTGCTTATGTGTTGTTTTCCTCCTTTTTCTAGGAATCATATGTTGTCCATCCCCCCCTCAGGCTTGAAAGTCCTCAAAGAGACCCACTATCCCATATCACTGCCCAGAGGGATGATGGGAGATGCAGCCTTGATCATGTGACTTCCAGCATGATCACCTACTGCCTTCTGAGTAGAAGAACTCACTGCAGAGCAGTTTACCTCATTTTACCATAGTTGCATGTGATCGCAATGTTTGAGTTATTATTTGCAGAGATAGAAGCAAAAATTACAAAAATACACAGGGTAGTGGGTCCTTTTGTGGCTTTCCCAGTTACTCAAATTGACTTCCCCCACCTTTACACAGGTGCTTTCAATAGTTTCAAGATTATTTTTAAATACGTATTTTAGACTTTTAATAAAAAAAATCAATCAATGACTTCTTTGCTATTTTGGTTTTGCAAAAAGACCCACTATCAAGGAATGCTGCATGTGCTATTAAAAATTGTTCCAAATGTCCATAAATCTGAGACTTGATGTATTTTTCCATTTTGTCCAGTGTTACCAACTAAATTGTGTAGTTTGGGGCTTTCCCCCCTGCTGTAGAAGTCAGAGGAGTACAGTATGTCTGTTCTGAAGATTTGTAGAATGAGCCCAGTTAAACAGAAGGTGTTTGTGCTTGTTCGTGTGTATCAGATGTACCTTGTTGAGCATGTGTAAAACATCTTGTACATAAGAAATCAGTTCTTTCCGTGGCAAACACTATTACATTGTATGATGCTCTGATCATATTGCATTAATTTTATTTTGCACAGTGACCTTGTAGCCACACAAGAAAGCACCTGTGTTTTGCTTGGTCTCAGATTTATCAGGTTGAGTTGGTGTTTTGTTTGGGGTTTTTAATTTTGCGTGTTTTCATACAATAACTCAGTAGACAACACCGCTGAGGTTATTATGATCAACAATATCTACAGTCTTTTTTTAATTCTCTGTTACATGAAGTTTTATTCCGATTACTCTTCATGGAATGACATTTCAAACAAGTAATTTTCTTGACAAGAAAGAATGTATAGAAGTCTCCCTGCGATTAATTTCCAATGTTTACATTTTTTAACTAGACTGTGGAGTTTCTGCAGATTAATATGAAATGGAGCTCATGGTCTGCTCTGTGTTAGCTATGCTGTAGCTGAAACCATGTTTGTCTTTTAAACGCTTAGTTGGAAGCTTTCAATAAAAATACTGTGGCTGACAGCACAGAAAGTGGGAGGGGGAAACCTCAAGCACAATTGAGCTGTCCTACTCATAATGACTGTGTAACTTGTCCCCTCTGTGTCCGTGTCTCGGAGATACTGTGCTCCCGGCTGTGTCGAGGTCCTCTTCCCTTCCCATGGTGCAGGGGACAAGGGCGGCTCCTCCTCGTCCCCTAGCGCTTCAGTATTTTCATGGATATGAATGTAAAATATATAAATATATAAACCTGCGGCTTTAACAACTGTAATACAACCTTTTGAATTAGTTACGTGTATAGATAATTAAATTCTTCCTATAAAAGTTAGACGGACATGTCTCTGTGTTCTTGGTGTTGGAACCTGGCTGTGGTGACCACCTGTTGGTAATGGGGTGCGTGATCAAACTCTCACCAGGTCTCCCTGAACGGCCCATCCTTGCTTCCGACCCCATTTAGCAGTCAGTTATCTCCCTGGGCTTTCAGCGTATGTGGTTGACAACATGGGCAGGTGTGTGATTTGGCTAACAATATAAAACATTTTTCCAAAAGGGAGTGTTGAACACTGAAGATATGGGTGGGCAAAAACAGAAACCCACATTATTTCCTGTGTTTTATTCAGGATTGGCTCCTGTCTGGCACCCTGTGTTCTTGCTGCCCCTGCAGAGACAGTCAGCATACACACTGGTGACATTGGTGACAGTGATCACATGCTTGATTCCATCCTCATGAACCTCACTCATTGGGCCTCCCCTGCCCTTCAGCTGAAAAGTGATTTCTTTTGTCAGTTCAGCAACTCTTTTCAGGGGTGTATCTACCATGTGTTGGGTGCCCTGTGGGACTCTGGGAAGAGTACGCTTCCTGTCCTCGTGGGATTTCTATTCTAATGATAAGAACAAGCAGAAAGCCAAACTCCCCACATCCGTGTGTGTGTATGTGTGTGTGGTAATGAGCCAGGAGAAGTGCAGATGCAAGGCACACTGCTCAAGCCATCTTGGAGCAGGTGGGCAGGCGAGGGAGATTGTGGTAGGGAAGAATCAAGAACTCTTCCAGGAGGAAGTAAAGTTGGAACTGAAGCCTGAAGGATGAGGAAGAGCAGATGAAGTGGGGAGAGAAGTGATGTCAGGACTTCCAAGGCCCAAAGGAGGTGGGCTGGAGCTGCTTCTGTTCCCACCCCCAAGGAACATGAGTCCAGTCAGCAGGCGCTGGGCCCTGCCCCAGGCCCCTTCACCTTCATAAGGCAGGGTTCCTTCCCCGGTCTTGAGTTTGGCTGGAGGAATGTGGTTGTCAAGGTGGGTAACAACCTGTAGTCCCCTCCCCTCTCTTTCCTCCCCTTCCTTCCCCTCTCTTTCCCCCGCTCTCTCCTCCTCTTTCCTCTCTGTTCCTCTCCTTTCCTCTGTCTCATGCCCTCTCTATAGGTCTGTCCTCTGGGCTTTCCTCTGAGTTTGTGAAGCTAGCATAAAATTTCCCTCACAGCACATTCATTTTGCATTGCTTTCCTAGGATCCATCTGACATGGTGGTTCTCAGCCTTGGGGTGGTGTAGTGAGTGGATACAAAGATGGCGGCGGGGTGAGAGTCCCAAGTTCAAGCCTCACTTGAACAACTTAAGGGTGGAGATATAGCTCAGTGTGAAAGTTCTGGCTTCAGTTCTGCAGTACCAAAAAACAGTGACCTGGCCCCACGTGTTACCAGCGCTGAGGTGAACCAAGAATGGTCTTACTGGCCATTGTGGTTATGGTCTCCTCATTGCCCTTGTCCAAATATGGTACCCCACTGCTGATCCTGGTAATTAGCATTCAAAAACACCCCAGAAACTTGACTTCCCATGTCAAAATCTTGATTATTCTCTGTATCCTCTATGGCTTGGCACTAGATTCAACAATTCTAGTTATGTTCTCAGGAAATCTGGTGACTAAAAGGGAGAGAAAGCATCTCCTAAATAAATTGGAAAGGGATGTGAGGTAGCTTCTTTAGCACTATGGTTTAACAGTGTCAGGATTTATTTTTTGAACCATTTGTTAAAAACGATTGGCTGCTAAATTCTTTAATGTCATACTGGTCTCTGAGTAGCCTTGGGATATAGGTTTGTCCAGAGGTGTGGAGGCTGGAGCTCAAGCAGTCATTTTCATTGTGCACATGGGAGTCACCTACATAAAAGGACACCAGAGGGACACTGATCTGAAGCATAGATTCATCCCTTTGAAAAGTTGAATATCGCAGGACTCCTCAGTGCTAGAAATGTGGCTGCCTTGTCTCTAGAAGGAAACCCAGGGATAGCCAGAATCCCATCCCCAAATGCTGAGGGGGTTATGCATCAGAATTGGTTACCACAAGGATTTGGCAACATCAGGAGGAAAAATTCAGTAAAATCAGCTTAGAAAATCTCATGAACTAGTAGGTTTTGCCATACAAAGTTCCCAACATTGCTACCTCTTCCCCATGAAGACAGCAGTCTCACCTGGCTCCAACCCACTGTGGCCCATGGTAGGTTAGTGCTAGACGTACGTCCTGAATGAGTGGATTGAACAAAAGAAAGACCGGGAAAACAGCCCCAATTCTTGGCAGACACATCCCCCTCCAAGAGGAAACCAGATGTCTCCCAAGTCTCCATTTTCCTAAGATCCCAACTTCCACAAGCCTCAGAGACCTTGGTGTTGGCTGAATCTCCACTCCCGGGCAGGGCTAGGGGAACAACACCCCCACCCCGGGTGACAGCTGGGGGTGGAGCACAATCTACCCCGCGTCCTGACAAACCAAAAACCATGTCTGACAGTGAATTTTTTGTATAAGTTATAAAATAATAAATGGATTTGAAGCCAGGCATGGTGACTCATGCCTATAATCCCAGCACTCGGGAGGCTGAGGCAGCAGGATTGTTACAAGTTCGAGAACAGCCTGGGCTACAAAGTAAGCTCAAGGCCAGCCTGAACTGCATAGCAAGACCCTGTCTCAAAAAAGAAAAATAATAATAAACAGATCCTACTCATTTTCTTAGTTCCAAAACTACCTTAAGAGAATATAGAAACCACAATGTAAGTGGGCCCAAACCTAGGTAGAAAAATAAATGTCTGATACTTTGGATCCAGTAGGAGAGGGAAACATGATAAGGTGAAATATGAATATTTCACTTCAGCTAGCATTTTCTTGGGTCCAGTTTTAAAAAAGAAAACCCCAGTTGGCTAAGCCATTTGCAGGGTTCCATGGCCTCTTTGGAAGGTTTTATTTTTATGCTGAAAGCTTCTCAGGAATTTTGAAATTACACAGTTCAGTTCACAGGATGTAAGATTTTGTTTGGAAAAAAAAGAGCATCAGGTATAAGATATGTTTGTATTGTGCCCATGCAACTGGCTGTGAAGTGTACTGCCTGCTCTTAGAAGCTACCTGCTACCGTTAAGGTGTCAGCAGTCACCAGTGTGCGTGCGTGTGT